ACTTTTAAAGAAACTTACTCTAAAGTTGAGTTGTTTAAAGGAGAAATAGAATCAGTAAATTAAGAAATACTCCAGTTATATTGGACCCTATCAAAAGATATCTATATAAAATAGTAAAAATCAAACTTAGCCTCACATTAGTTTCCTGATAAATTTTATTTTAGAATAAACTTCTGTTCTGAACATTAGAAGGATCAATTTGTATGTCTCTACCATGAAGATTTCCAAAGCTAGTGGAAGAGGATGGTTAGCTTTCTGTTTTTAGTTCTCTGAGTACTGACAGCTTGCCTTCATGAGTTCTAGGATAGTATGTTGTCCATGAGGAAAGTGAGGGTGTGTGTGTGGCACTGTCCCTGAGCGTTTTTCACTCAAAGCTAGCATTCTACACTTGAGCCACAGCTCCACTTTGTACTTTCTTTGGTAGTTTATTGGAGATAAGAGTCTCATGGACTTTTTTGCCTGGGCTAGGATTGAATGTGATCCTCAGATCTCAGCCTCCCAAGTAGCTAAAATTATAGGCACGAGCCACCAGGTCCCAGCAAGAGTGGAATCTTAAATAAGTTACCTTTCTTTGATTAGCTTTTTTTTTTTTTTTGGGGGGGGGGGTGGTTCCAGTCGTGGGGCCTGAACTCTGGGCCTGGGCGCTGTCCCTCAGCTCTTCAGCTCAAGGCTAGCGCTCTACCACTGGAGCCACAGCGCCACTTCTGGCTTTTTTCTTTTTGCTTATGTGGTGCTGAGGAATCAAACCCAGGGCCTCATGCATGCAAGGCAAGTGCTCTACCACTGAGCCACCTTCCTAGCCCTGCTTCGTATTTTTAACATTGTGAAATTTAGTTGTGGAAACTAGAAAACCTGGGAATTCTGCATTGAGGGAAGACTCTCCTGAGACACACAGTTTATGTTGTATAAAGTACTAAAACCTCTTTGTCAGCTGACCCTGTAGGTTATTGGGGAATAAGATGTCATTTTAATCAGAAAAAAAGAACAGCTAGCTAGAGGAATCATACCGTTACTATATTTTTTATTTTTGTTGTGCTGGTTCTAGAGCTTGAACTCTGGGTCTGGTGCTATTGTTGAGCTTTTGTGTGCTCAAAGCTAGTACTTGAACCACAGCTGTACTTCCAGCTCTTTTTTTGGGGGTGGGGGAGGGTGGTAATTGGAGGCAGGAGTCACAGAATTGGCTGAACTATGATCAGATCTCAGCCTCCTGAACAGCTTAGATTACAGGAGTGAGCCACCAGCACCTGGCTTGACTGTAATATTCTCTCTCTCTCTCTCTCTCTCTCTTTTTCTCTCCCTTCGTCCCTCTCTCCTCTCACTTTCTCCCTCTCTCCTCTCCCCTTCTCTCCCTCTCCCCCCCCCCCCCCCCCCTATGGGGCTGTCTTTGACCACTTTTGCTCAGGGCTAGTGCTCTACTACTTGGAACTACAGCACCACTTTTGGTTTTCTAGTGGTTAATTGGAGATAAAGGGTCTCATGGTCTTTTCTGCCCAGGCTGGCTTCGAACTTTGATTCTCAGATCTCAGCCTCCTGAGTAGTTAGGATTATAGGCATGAGTCACTAGTGCTCAGCTTTACTGTAATTTTTTAAATAATTTATTATAATTTTTTGTTTGTGTAGTACTGAGGATCGAATTCAGGGCCTCATGCATGCTTAGTTAGGTAAGCACTCTACCACCAAGCCACATTCCCAGCCATTGACTGTAATTCTTTTTTTTTTTTTTTTTTTTGCGGTCATGGGGCCTGAACTCTGGGCCTGGGCGCTGTCCCTGAGCTCTTCAGCTCAAGGCTAGCGCTCTTCAACTTGAGCCACAGTGCTACTTCCAGCTTTTTCTGCTTATGTGGTGCTGAGGAATCAAACCCAGGGCCTCATGCATGCAAGGCAAGCACTCTACCACTTAAGTAAGCCACCTTTCCAGCCCTTGACTGTAATTCTTGGAGGCAGATTGGCCTTTAAAGTTTGAGAACTGGGCTGGAAGAGGGATTTGTTATATGTAGCTGACTAGTGCCAATGAGATTGCTACTCCATCATCTCTGATAATTCTACTGTAAGTCTTAATTGGCTTTGTAGGACAGCTATCCATCACAGCTTCTATCATTTCTTCATAATGGATGAAGGAATTTGTTAATGGCACTACTACATCTTAGTCCTCCTAACCCACGCATACATATCCTGTATTTACTTTGTCTTAGCTCTTCCTGGTAGTGTTTTTGTTATTGTTGTTGTTTGTTTGTTTTTAGGGTTCATAGTCTCATAACGTACAGTCTGCTTCCTTGCCTGTAGTCTCATCGTTATACTAGTTTGTCCTGCCCATTTCTTCCAGAGCGCTTTTTCTTTTTCTGAAGTACTGAGGTTTGAACTCGGGGCCTAATGCTTAGTAGGTAGGGTCTCTACCACTTGAGCCACATGCTTTCTCTTTTCTTGCTTTCATTATTTTTTGGATAGAGTACTGTACTTTTTGCCTACCACTGGCCTCAGATTAAGATCTTCCTACCTATGGCTCTTGCATAGCTGGGAATACAAGTTGCCTATACACTTTGTTGGTTGAGTTGGAGTCTCACTGACCTTTTTGTCTTTTTTTTTTTTTAATCAGTCATGGGGCTTGAACTCTGGGCCTGGCACTGTTCCTCAGCTCTTCAGCTCAAAGCAAGCACTCTACCACTTGAGCTACAGCACCACTTCTGGTTTTCTGGTGGTTAATTAGAGATAAGAGTCTCACGGACTTTCCTGTTCTGACTGGTTTTGAACTGTGATTCTCAGCCTCCTAAATAGCTAGGATTATAGGCATGAGCCACTGGCACTAGTTTGACCTTTTTGTCTTGAGCCATGATCTTCTTGACTGCTGCTTCCTGACTAGTAGGGGTAGCATTTGTTTGCCAAAATGCCAAGCTTCCAGACTATTTATCTATATCCCATCCTCCTTCCTTCCCTCCTTCCCACCCTCCCCCCCTTCTCTTTCCTTCCTTCTTCTATTCATCCATCAGTTGTGGGGCTTGAACTCAGGGCCTGGGCACTGTCCCTAAGCTCTTTTTGCTCAAGGCTAGTGCTCTACCATTTTGAGCCACAGCTGTGGTGTTCTAGTGGTTAATTGAGCATAAAAGTTTCACCGACTTTTCTGCCCGGACGCTTTGAACCACAATCCTAAGTAGCTAGGATTACAGGTGTGAGCCACTGGCACCCGGCTTTATTTCTTGCTTTTCTGAAACCCTGTTCACTCAAGTATTTGAAGTTTTGGAATACTGACTAAATACATAGCTCCTTTTGGTTAATAGTTAAGTATTCTAGAAGTAATCTGGTCATTTTCTTCTTTCTTACAGTTTTTTTTCCCCCTGAAATAATCTGCATTTTTTAAAATTACTTCATTTAGTTTAAGGCTGAAATTTTATTTCAGTTTTAATTACAGATCCCGCCACTCAGCCAGTATAGATTCTCTGTTTCTATGTATATATTTAAGAGAATTGGTGCCATCATGACAAGTGGAGTGAGATGTAGCCTATTAATTTGTTCTTTGGATGAAGGTGATATGACGCAGAGTGGGAGTTAGGGAACCGGGTGAAGAGGTTCATGGAGGAGAGCAGACTGAGGGGAAGGGTTGGGTAGTGGGTAGGAGTCCTTGGAGAGGTGCCTGGCAGCAGGTTTACTATATTCCAACTGTGTTTAAGTTGAACATGTGCATGCTTATAATGTCCTAAATATGGTAAAACAAGAGACAAGGGACCATGTGGGTTAGGTGAGAGGCTATTACAATAATTGACTAAAATTCAATTTGTGTAAAGAAGGTCAAGAGCCATTCATGGCAGTACATACCTGTAGTTCTAGCTACTTAGGAGGCTGCGTAGGGAGAATTTCCTGAGTCCATGAGCTTGAAGCCACATAGTAAGTCCCTCATTGCTTAAAAATGGGAAAAGAACATGAAGGTGACTGGTGAAAATGTCATGATAAATGAATTTAAGGTGTTGTGAGACTGAAGGATTATGGGGGGATGTTCAAAGGCACAACTGTATGAGATTAAAGAGAATTTTGAAGAATGTATAGTTAATGTGTTTATAAAAAAAACGGTAGCCCAGCTAGGCACCGGTAGCTCACACCTATAATCCTAGCTACTCAGGAGGCTGAGATCTGAGGATCACAGTTCAAAGCCAACTCAGGCAAGAAACTCTGTAAGACTCTTATCTCCAATAAACCACTAGAAAACTGGAAGGGGCGCTGTGACTCAATTAGAGTGCTCGCCTTGAGCTGAAGAACGCAGGGACAGCGCCGAAGCCCAGAGTTCAAACCCAGCGACCGACAAAAACAAACAAAAAACAGTAGCCCAGGTTGGCCTCAAACTTGTGTCCCCATCCCTCTCCCCTCCCCTCTCTCTCTCTCCCCCCTCCCCTTCCCCCCCCCCCCCCCCCCCCCAGCCTTCTAGCCTCCCTAATGCTGAGATTGCAGTCATAAACCACCACACCTACCTAAGTCAGTTCTTGAGTTATGGGGAGAGGACAAGAGGAGTTTGAGAAACCAGCAGACTATGGTCAAAGAGGTTTCCTTACCTTTGAGAAGTGTCTGTTGTTCATATACTTAAAATAAAATAACATGTCACTGAGTTGAGTCAAAGATATTTGCATTTCTACCAAGATCCCTGAATTGAGAACAAAAACATAAAAATCCAGTTCTGTTTTGAGAGCTGTTTTGTTTTTTTTATCCACCCCTTCTACCTGCTGTTGCTAAGGGATTGGAATCGGTTTGTGACACTTGCTAGCAAGCCATCTTCCACTGAGTTATCCTCCCACTCTAGAAGAGACAGTTCTAAAGTGTTGGTATCAAGAGAATTTTGCATCCACCTGGCACAAACACCAGTTAGCAGTTGTCTTTGTTTTTTTAGGGGCATCTTGCCTATGAAGAGCAATGGAGCTATAGCTTTACCTGAATAGCTGGGGAGGACCTTTCAGATTCTTAAACATTGCTTCTTAAAATAAGTTTTTCAAAGTAATTTTATTCCTGTTCTTAAATTCTAGTACATGACTCTCAATCCTTCTACTAAGAGGAAGAATACTGGATCCCCAGACAGGAAACCCTCAAAGAAATCGAAGACAGACAGTTCTTCTCTGAGCTCACCACTAAATCCTAAGTTATGGTGTCATGTGCACTTGAAGAAGTCATTGAATGGCTCCCCTCTCAAAGTGAAGAACTCCAAGAATGCCAAGTCTCCCGAAGAACATCTGGAAGAGGTTATGAAGATGATGTCCCCCAGCAAGCTCCACACCAACTTCCACATTCCTAAGAAAGGCCCTTCCACCAGGAAGCCAGGCAAAGCTGGTGACAAGCCTTTGAAGGCCAAGGGCAGAAACAAAGGCATCCTGAATGGACAGAAGTCTACAGTGAATTCCAAATCTCCCAAAAAGGGGCTGAAGACCCCTAAAACCAAAATGAAGCAGATGACTTTATTGGACATGGCCAAAGGTACTCAGAAAATGACACGAACCCCACGGAATTCTGGGAGTGCACCGCGGTCCTCTAGTAAACCTCATAAACACCTGCCTCCTGCCGCCCTCCACCTAATTGCCTACTACAAAGAAAACAAAGACAAGGAGGACAAGAAGACCGCCCTGTCCTGTGTCATCTCCAAAACGGCACGGCTACTCTCCAGTGAGGACCGGGCTCGCCTCCCCGAGGAATTGCGCATACTCGTTCAAAAGCGTTATGAGCTTCTAGAACATAAAAAGAGGTGGGCTTCTATGTCCGAAGAGCAGCGGAAAGAGTACTTAAAAAAGAGACGTCAGGAGCTGAAAGAAAAGTTGAGGGAAAAGGCCAAACAACGACGAGAGAAGGAAATGCTAGAGAAGCTGGAGAAACAGAAGCGATACGAGGACCAAGAGTTGAGTGGCAAAAGCCTGCCAGCGTTTCGCCTGGTGGACACACCTGAGGGGCTGCCCAACACCCTGTTCGGGGATGTGGCCCTAGTGGTGGAGTTCCTCAGCTGTTACTCGGGGCTCCTCCTACCAGATGCCCAGTATCCCATCACCGCAGTGTCCCTTATGGATGCCCTGACCGCAGACAAGGGCGGCTTTTTATACCTGAACAGGGTGTTGGTCATCCTGCTACAGACCTTACTGCAGGACGAGATTGCCGAGGACTATGGGGAGCTGGGGATGAAGCTGTCAGAAATCCCACTCACCCTGCATTCTGTCTCTGAGTTGGTCCGCCTCTGCTTGCGCAGATCTGATGTCCAAGAGGAGAGTGAGGGTTCAGACCCCGATGACAACAAAGACTCAGCCCCATTCGAGGATAATGAGGTGCAGGATGAGTTCCTCGAGAAGCTGGAGACATCTGAGTTTTTTGAACTCACGTCTGAGGAGAAGCTCCAGATCTTGACGGCACTGTGCCACCGGATCCTTATGACCTACTCCGTGCAGGACCACATGGAGTCCAGACAGCAGATGTCAGCCGAGCTTTGGAAGGAACGGCTGGCTGTGCTGAAAGAGGAGAATGACAAGAAGAGGGCAGAGAAACAGAGACGGAAAGAAATGGAAGCCAAAAATAAAGAGAATGGAAAAGAGGAGAATGGATTGGGCAAAATTGATAGGAAAAAAGAAATCGGGAAGTTAGAGCCCCAAATAGATATGGAGGCTGAAGACATAGTTAGCGCGGTAAAGAGTCGGAGGCTGCTTGTCCTGAGAGCTAAGCAGGAGCGGGAAATCCAGGAGAGAGAGCTGAAAGGTATACCTCCCTGCCAGGCACAGAGGGCAGCCGCTAGAACAGTGGAACTAGAATAATGACAGGATGGATATCTACTGTTCACTTATTTAAAAATGTGTGATAACCCGGCACTGACACTGACTAGGTTTGTAAAGGAAGGAAGGAAGGAATGAGTTAGGGAGTTGGACAGGTAGGAGACAGGTATGTTGTAGGTGGGTCAGTCTAGATAAGAGTGTGTGTTTGCAATGCTGGGGACCAAACCCACCTAAGCTATCCACCACTGAGTTGTACCTTCAGCATTATGTTCCTGATATTTTAGGAATGAGCTACTCTTCACCTTACCGCAGGTAGCTGGCATTATAGGAGGGTACCAATATGCCCAGCCTCATGTCTTTCTTCTTTCTTTTTGTCTAATCGACTTTAGCTTTCGCTTTCTCCACACAATATGTATCAGTACTTTCTTCCTTTTTTGGTTAGACATGGGGCTTGAACTCAAGGCCTGGACACTGTCCCTGAGCTCTTTTGCTCAGGGTTAAGGCTCTATCATTTTGAACTACAGTGCCACTTTCTGGTGATTAATTGGAGATAAGTCTCATGACTTTCCTCTAGCCTCCTGAGTACCTAGATTACAGGTACCAGACATCTGCACTGGGCTTTGTTTTTGTTTATATTTCTGGTTTTGAACTTGGTCTCATGATGAATGCTAGGCAGGAGCTCTATTATTAAACCATGCTTCCTGCCCTATTTTCTTCCTTTTAGCTGTTACGGAGAATGGAGCTATAAACATCTAGTAGAAGAGGTTTTTTTTTTTTGTTTTTTTTTTTGTCGGTCGTGGGGCTTGAACTCTGGGCCTGGGCGCTGTCCCTCAGCTCTTCAGCTCAAGGCGAGCGCTCTACCACTTGAGCTGCAGCGCCACTTCCGGTTTTCTGGTGGTTTATTGGAGATAGGAGTCTCACGGTCTCTCCTGCCCGGGCTGGCTTTGAACCGTGATCCTCAGATCTCAGCCTCCTGAGTAGCTAGGATTACAGGCGTGAGCCACCAGCGCCCGGCTAGAAGAGGTTTTTGTGTCAAGATAGACATGCATTTCTCTTGGATGCCTACCTGTGAATGGAATTGTCCAGTCACAGGGCCTGTTAGATCAGTTTCCAGGTCCCATGAGCCATGAGGGGGGAAGGTGTGACTTTTATACGCTCACTGCTACTTGCCACACATCTGCAGGCCAGCCACCCCATTGGGTTGCCTGTCATTCCTCACCCAGGAGAATGTGAGGGCCAAGCACCTTTCATGGGCTTTTTAACCATTTGTAAGTCTTTGAAGATGCACTTCTCTTATTAGACACATGGTCCACAACTATTTCACCTATTTGGGGGCCGTGTTTTTTTTACTTTTTTGGTAGTGTCCAAAGAAACACAAGTTTTAAATTTTGATGAGGTCCAGTTATCTCTCATTTTTTCCTTTGTGGCTCATGGATTTGATATTTTATCTATAAATTTGTTGCTGAGTCCAAGGTTATAGAGACATTCTTCTGAAAACCTTAGTTTTTTTAGCTCTTATATTTAAATCATTGGTTTTACTTTTTACTGTAGTTTATTTCTAGATAGGGCCTTGTACTTTTCTAGAGTTGAATCTCAGTCCTGCTATCTCTGACTCCTAGCTGTGATTATATACGTGGACTACCATACCTGAGTCAAAAGTCTAGCTTTAGGGCTGGGAAGGTGGCTCAGTGGTAGAGCACTTGCCTTGCATGCCTGAGGCCCTGGGTTCAATTCCTCAGCACCACATAAGCAAGAGTCTAGCTTTACATATACACACACACATATATACGTATATACATACATATATCTATTTATTCCCACAAGTCAGGTTATGAATATAATTATCAGTATTACCCCTTTCTATCATTCTTCCCTATCTTCCAGCTTTATTTATATATTTATTTATTGCTGGTCCTGGGCCTTGAACTCAGGACCCGGGCTCTGTCCCTAAGCCTGTCTGTGTTCAAGGCTAGCACTCTCTCACTTGAGCCACAGTGCCACTTCTGGCATTTTGTTTATGTAGTACTGAGGAATGGAACCCAAGACTTCGTGCATGCTAGGCACGTACTCTACCACTAAGCCACATTCCCAGCCAAAGCTTTATTCTTTTACATGTTGCTATCCTATTGTCCTAGTATCACTTGCTAGAAAGACTAATTTTTTTTTTTTTTTTTGGTTCGGTCATGGGGCCTGAACTCTGGGCCTGGGCGCTGTCCCTCAGCTCTTCAGCTCAGGGCTAGTGCTCTACCACTTGAGCCACAGCACCACTTCCCGCTTTTTTCTTTTCGCTTATGTGGTGCTGAGGAATCGAACCCAGGGCCTCATGCATGCAAGGCAAGCACTCTAGCACTGAGCCACCTTCCTGGCCCTGGAAAGACTATATTTTAAATACTCCATTGGATGGTCTTGGTATTCTTGTTGAGAATCACTACAAACATATCAGTCTATTTCTGCTCTCTTGAGTCTGATTTCTACTACTTTTTCTTTTTTTTTTTTCAGCCACAATCTCCCTTGGTTGCTCAGGCCAGTCTAGAACTAGCAATCCCCCTGCCTTGATCTCTCAGATGCTAGGACAGATGTGTGCTTGTTTATTGACTTATATGAGTATAGTGTCATGTTGTCTTGATTATTTTGCTTTGTAGTAATAGTATCTGTTTGTTTGTTCCAGTATTGGAGCTGTTACTCAGCCTTATGCTCTTAATTACTTGAGCCATGCCTTCATTTCCAGCTTTTTTGAGAGGGAGAGTATTGGGGCTTAAGTTCAAGGCCTTGGCAATCTTGCTGTTCTTTTTCACTCAAGGTTGGTGCTTTCTCTGAGTTATACCTTACTTCCAGCTTTTTGCTGGTTAATTGGAGATAGAGATCCTCAAACTTTCCTGCTGGTGCTGGCTTTGAACTCAGATCTCAGCCTGCATAGCTAGAATTGCAAGCGTGAGCCACCAGTGCTCAGCTCTGTAGTAAAATGGAGAAGTGTCAGTGGTTTTTTTTTTGTTTGTTTGTTTTGTTTTGTTTTTTGGGTTTTTTTTTTGCGGGGGGGGGGGGGCGGTCTGGTAGTGGGGCCTGAACTCTGGGCCTGAGAGCTGTCCCTCAGCTCTTCACCTCAAAGTTAACACTCTACCACTTGAGCCACAGCGCCACTTCCGGCTTTTTTCTTTTTGCTTATGTGGTGCTGAAGAATCGAACCCAGGGCCTCAGGTATGCAAGGCAAGCGCTCTACCACTGAGCCACCTTCCCAGCATCAGTGTTCTGACATATGTTTTTCAAGATTGTTTGGCTATTTTTTGCCAGTCCTGGGGGCTTGAACTCAGGGCCTGGGCACTGTTCCTGAGCTTTTGTTCAAGGCTAGCACTCTACCACTTGAGCCACAACACCACTTCTGGCTTTTTCTAATCTTTATTTGAACTGAGGGATTGAACCCAGGGTTTCATGCATGCTGTGAGCACTCTACCACTAAGCCACCTTCCTAGCCCAGGTATTCTTGATTTCTGGAGATTTGGCATGAATTTTAGACTCATTGCTTATAGTTTCTAAAAAGAAGCTAGTTGGGGTTCTGGTAGGAGTTGAATTGCATCTGTAGATTTGAATCTGTTTTGTGGATTTTTTTTTTGGGGGGGGGTCAGTAATGGGGCTTGAACTCTGGGCCTGAGCGCTTTTCCCTGTTCTTCAGTTCAAGGTGAGCGCTCTACCACTTGAGCCACAGCGTCACTTCTGGTTTTCTGGTGGTTTATTGGAGATAAGAATCTCAGGGATGTTACTGCCTGGGCTGGCTTTGAACTGATTCTCAGATCTCATTCTCCTGAGCAGCTAGAATTACAGGCATGAGCCATCAGGGCCCGGTTTGTGGATTTTTTAGAGTAGTGCCTTCTAACTTCTTTTGATACATAAACATGCTTTCCAGTTATATAGATATTATTTATTTATTTATTTGTCTGCCATGGGGCTTGAACTCTGGGCCTGGGCTTTGTCCCTCAGCTCTTAACTCAAGGCGAGAGTGCTCTACCACTTGAGCCACAGAGCCACTTCTGGTTTTCTGGTGGTTAATTGGAGATAAGAGTGTCACAGAATTCCCTGCCCGGGCTGGCATTGAATCGTGATTCTCAGATCATATTTGTGTTGCCTTTGATTAGAAAGCTTCTTTAAGATATATTTTAGCTTATATTCCTTAAGGCCTTTTAAGTCTTTTGTATGTATACAGTATATGTATAAAATATGTATTTCTCAGGGTTTGATTTTTTATTTTTATTCGTGCATTGTGTGGCTTGAATTCAGAGCCTGGGTGCAATTCATAAGGGTGTCTTGTTTGTTTTAATCTTTACCAGTGAAATTAGAGCGGGAAGCTGAGGAAGAGCGGATGCGGAAGCACAAAGCAGCTGCTGAGAAGGCTTTCCAGGAGGGCATTGCCAAGGCCAAGCTAGTGCTGCGGAGGACACCTATTGGTACCGACCGGAACCACAACAGGTCAGGGACTGTGCTTCTGTTGGATTACCTTGCAGAGCTATAGCCTGTTGTTACCCCTAAGGAAACTCTATAAAGTAATTAAAATAAAACTTTTCTTTTTAATTTTCCAATTGTGTTTTAAAAACATAATTGCACATGAACCTTTCACTAAACATTAACTGCATGCTAAGGTAGGGTGGAGTTGAGTGATCAAGGGCTTGCCTTGGGCTCCAATCCCCTACAGTGTGGAGGGGAAAAATAGACGTATTTGGGCCTTAAAGATACCACAGATGTGAAACCTAGATTATGGTGATAAGTGAAGTATAATCTAAATAGAATTCTTTAAAAATGGCAAGTATGAGGTTAGGGGTTAGCTCAGTGGAAATGCACCTGCTTGGTAAGCACAAGGCCTTGAGTTTGGTCCTCAGCTCTGGGGGGGGGGGAAGCTATAAAAATGGTGAGTGTGTTTATGCCTACCAGTAGGGAGCTTGAATTCAGGGTCTTGCACTCTCACTCAGTTTTTCTTGCTCAAAGTTCTACTCAGTTTTGTCATACAGACCTTTCTGCCTGGGCTGTCTTCAAACTGATCCTTCAGGCCTCGATCTCTTAAGTAGCTATGATTTCAGATCTGAATTCACTGCTTGCCTTTTAAAAGTGGCTATATATTTTAAGTGTAGGCATTGTGTAGAACCTAAAGATAAATATTAAGAGTTGTAAAATTACAGACATTTAATTTTATAATATCTTTCGCTTTGCCTGTCTTTCAATTTGTCTGTCTGGAATTCTGAGCAAAGCAACTGTCAGTGTCTAGAAATGCTTATTCATGCCTGAGTCAGTTTTTCAAGCAAATGAAATCATCTAGCAGTCCTGATCCAGTTCTTACTGTAATTCATGGCCGTGATTTGTAGATACTGGCTCTTCTCTGATGAAGTTCCTGGACTGTTCATTGAGAAAGGCTGGGTACATGACAGCATCGACTACCGATTCAACCATCGCCGCAGAGACCGTGCAGACTCTCCCGACAAGGATTACTGTCCGCGAAGTAAGTGGCTGGCTAGTACATGCGCCCCTCCACTTGCAGTGTGGTTGTGTCTTAATTAACCTGCATTGAATAGAAAGCATACTGTGTTACAAGGCATGGAGCAATACAGCACACTCAAGAATTGGTGTTTCTGCTTGTCATTGTGTGGCTGCCTGCTGCCCACCGGTGTACAAGATCACATTCCAAGTGGCTGTTCTGTATCTGAGTCTCTATCACTTTCATGATGCACAATTGGAAAGCTCAAAACATCTTTCTTTAAATTAGTAAGCATTAGTTGCACAAGGGGAGGTTTCATAAAGACATTTCCACTCATGGGTCTGGTCGACTCATTCTGTCTGTTAATCTCCCTTATCCCACTTCCCACTTTTTAAAACAGTTTCAGCAGGTTTCCTTATTCTACCATGTTGACCAAATTCATTCTCATTTATCATTTGTTAGCCCTTCTAAAGCTGAACTACCTTAAGTAAAAGAACTTGTTTCCTTTTTTTAGATAATATCTCATTTATGTAGCTCAGACAGCTTTGAATGCACAATCCTCATACCTTATGTTTTTTTGTTGTTGTTGTTCTGATCCTGGGCCTTGAACTCGGGGCCTGGGTGGTGTCACTGAGCATTTTTGCTCAAGGCTAGTTCTCTACCACTTGAACCACAGCTCCAGTTCCAGATTCTTGGTGGTTAATTGGAGATAAGAATTTAACAGTCTTCTAAGAAGCACTGTGGCTCAAGTGGTAGAACGCTAGCCTTGAGCTGAAGAGCTCAGGGACAGCCCAGGCCCAGAGTTCAAGCCCCATGACCGACAGAAAAAAAAAAAAAAAAAAAGAATTTCAGTCTTTCCTGCCTGGGCTGGCTCTGAACCTTGGTTTTCAGTTCTCAGCCTTCTCAGGAGCTAGGATTACAGATGTAAGCCACAGGTGCCTGGCAAACTTGATGACAGCTGTTGGAAGTCAGATCTACACTAGCCCCCAAGAGGATTGGACCTAAATTCCTTTGCTTATAGAGCATCCCAGGGTTTGTTTTTGACACCAGGTCTTGCTATAGCTCAGGCTACCAAACCTGATATGTAACTTAGCTTGGCCTTAATTCTTAATTCTCCTGCTTTAGCTTCCTGAGGGGGCACTGGATGTTCTTTTTTGCATGTTTTCTCATGTTTCTGAATGGTATTGACTCCTCAGAGTTATCTTATTGTACCAAAGCAATTTAAGTAGACTGTGTGTATTAGTATTTTGAGGGAGCTGATTCAAGTTAAGGGGAAGAGAATATAGGCAGAAGGGACAATCACTTGTAATATTAGATAAGGCCTAAAATATTATGATACCCCCAAAATAGCCTTTGATGTAATGGCTTAAGGTGTGTCTGTTTTGAGGTCATGTGATGGGGATACAGGAGCTGATTTACAAAATTATTAACAATATTCCTGACCCTCGGCACCTCCAGCATCTCTCTGGAACATATTGTGTATTTTGTTGGCTGCCAGTCACCTCAGGAAACTTAGCTGTTCATGTCATATAAAAGGAATAAACTCACTTGCTCCAATGTGTTATTTCATCAATATATTCTAAGGTGAAATATTCTCAAGAGTTGAGCTGAGGCAAAGAGATGCCTCAACTTTTTTTTTTGGTCAGTCATGGGGCTTGAACTCTGGGCCTGGGCGCTGTCCCCGAGCTCTTCAGCTCAAGGCAAGCGCTCTACCACTTGTGCCACAGTGCCACTTCCAGTTTTCTGGTGATTAATTGGAGATGAGTCTCATAGACTTTCCTGCCCAGGCTGACTTTGAACTGAGATCCTCAGATCTCAGCCTCCTAAGTGATTAGGATTACAGGCGTGAGCCACTGGTGCCATCTTATGGAGTTTCATCCTATAGACCCATTGGAAATTGATAATCGATGTTGAAAATGCATTAATACATGGAAGTATCGGCTATTTGGGAAAAAAGAAAATTTTCAGCTATACATTCTACTGATGTATAGCCTTTCATGTAGGTTATGTGACCTGCAAGTCAGGTCATGGGCTGTTCATGCAAACTTCAGAGACATTAGCACGGACATGGCATCCATGTTGCAGTAGGATCTGGGTCATAGTTGTTGGGCATGGCGTGGCATATGGTCTGGGTTTGAACTAAACTACAGTCTACTGATGTTTGCATTTTTCTTAGGTAAGAAAGCCAATTTAGGCAAAAACGCAAGCAGGAACCCTCATCACAGACCAGCAGCGGGTGCTGCTGTGGAGACCACCACACCCAAGCAAGGCCAGAACCTATGGTAACGTGAGCATCATTTTGGTTGCTCTTTCTTTGACTTCCAAGTATTAGGAAAAGTATTAGGAAAACAAGTGTTGACTGTAAGGACCTTTTGTGTTACTTTGCTTTTTGTGTTTGTCAACCCACTGGGTTAGCTAGTGGCTCACACCTGTAATCTTGATTACTCAGGAGACTGAGAGCTGAGAATCACAGTAAAAAGCCAGCCTGGGCAGAATAGTCCTCAGTACTCCCATCTCCAAAATAACCAGCTACAAAAGCTAAATAAGGAGACTGGGTCTGTGCATCCCCTAAACAATTGGCCCTTGATTTCCCCTGATTGTTTCCCTAGATGGTTTAAGTGTCCTCATCTGTTTTGCTTTGCACATACATAAGACTTTTTTTTTTTTTTTGGGTCCGGTCATGGGGTCTGAACTCTAGGCCTGGGTGCTGTCCCTCAGCTCAAGGCGAGCGTTCTACCACTTGAGCCACAGTGCCACTTCCGGCTTTTTTCTTTTTGCTTATGTGGTGCTGAGGAATCGAACCCAGGGCCTCTGGCATGCAAGGCAAGTGCTCTACCACTGAGCCACCTTCCCAGCCCCTACATAAGACTTTTGTTGGGTTTGATTTCACATACCTTTTGTGGGTTTGGCCTTACATAAGCTTTGTGCTAGCTCCATTCAGGGCTGCTGGGCTTTGAGACATGAGTCCACCAGCAGTCCTTGACTCTCCAGTAAAGACTCATAATTTGACCTTGTAATTGGTGGCTTCTCTGTTTCCTGCTACTGAGTTTCCTTAAAACAACAGGCATGGCTTAAATAATAAAGAGTATTAGCTGAAGAAGCAAGTGGCCCTCGGGGCTGGGAAGGTGGCTCAGTGGTAGAGCGCTTGCCTTGCATGCGTGAGGCCCTGGGTTCGATTCCTCAGCACCACATAAGCAAAAGGAAAAAAGCCGGAAGTGGCGCTGTGGCTCAAGTGGTAGAGCACTAGCCTTGAGCTGAAGAGCTGAGGGACAGTGCCCAGGCCCAGAGTTCAAGCCCCATGACTGGACCCAAAAAAAAAAAAGAAGAAGAAGCAAGTGGCCCTGACCAGTGTACCAATGAAGAAAACTCACTGCTGTAAGCGGGTACAGTGGATCACATCTGTAATCCCATCCACTTGAAAAGTAGAGATGAGAGGGTCATTGTTAAAGGCTAGTATAGATAAGAAGTTAGTACACCCCATCTCAAAGAATAAGCCAAGAGTGGGTTCATGTCTGTTAACTCCAGCCCTATGGGAGGCAAGGGTAGGAGGATGGAGGTCTGGGGCTGCTGGCCCCAGGAAAAATGCAAGACCATATCTGAAAATTTAACTAAAGCAAAAGGGCAAGGGTAATTGGTGCTCATGGCTTAATGTCTGCTGTGTATTATAAAGTCTTTTATGTTATTAGAAAGGCTCTTGGATCATTTTCCTGAATTGAGTTTTATTAAAGTTTGGGAATTTAATCAATTGATAAAGATGATACCTGCATTGTTTATTGTTTATTAATGAGTATTCCTTAGTTGAACTGGGTTCCTATAGCCACTGGTCCTTTGGGTGCACTGCTGCTTCAAGCCAAGAGTGGAGGTCAGGGTCATTAGGCCTCATGGAAGTAGAAAAGCAGAAAACTATTGTTCTAATTAGAGCAATTAGACCACAAGTAGCTTTGGAATTCTTTACTCCTATCTTGCTATTGCCTGTTTATCCCTTACCTTGTGTTTGATTTTGATGATGGCTCAGAGGTGTAAGATCCATTTTGTCTTCACAGGTTTTTGTGTGATAGTCAGAAAGAGCTGGATGAATTGCTCAACTGTCTTCATCCTCAGGGAATTAGAGAAAGTCAGCTTAAAGACAGACTAGAGAAGAGGTAAGGATTTTCTTCTTGCCTATCAGTCTTCAATGTAAGTACAAATAACTGAGCAATAGGTTTGGCTTCTGTTTATAAGCTATTACATAAAAACTTTAGCCAGCCGGTGGCTCATGCCTGCAATCCTAGCTACTTAGGAAGCTGAGATCTGAGGATCACTATTTCAAGCCAGTCTGGGCAAAAAAGTCTATGAGACTTTTATCTCTAATAAACTACTCAGAAAAAAAAACACAAATAGCATTGTGGCTCAAGTGGTAGATTACTAGTATAGAGCACAAAGAGGCTCAGGGACAGCTCCCAGGCCCTGAGTTCAAGCTCCACAACTGACCAAGGGGAAAAAAAATAAGCCAGATGCCAGTGGCTCACACTTGTCATCCTAGCTACCAGGAGGCTAAGATCTGAGGATGAAGGTTTAAAGCCATCCCATGCAGGAAAGTCTGGAGATCATATCTCCAAAATGGCCAGCAAAAAGAAAAAAAGCAAACATAGCTCAAGGGTTACAGAACCGCCATAGCAAAACAAAACAGGACAACAGTGTGAGGCCCTGAGTTCAACAAAAAAGAAAAATCCAAAAATCCTGCTTTCTGGAGGGATTGCTAGAGGCTTTATCTGAAGCTGCACTCCTCCAGAGAATCCACATTTGCAAGTTGGTGCCAAGAAATTAGAGCCATTTGAACTTCTCTGCTTAGAGCTCTTCAGACACACAAAGAAGTGGACTGGGTATGAAGCCCACACCAACATCTTCAGAAAAGTAAAGATGAGTCCTTTGAATAACCTCACCTGTAGACCACAGACATCCGTACCAAGTGCAGCCAAAGCTCAGGGCTCCTTTTTCTTAGTAACAGATTTGCAGTATCACTTTGCTGGTCAGCTGGAGATGGGGTATGACAAGTGTTTCTATTGGGACACCTTGTGTAACTAATCCTTAGATCCTTGATCCCCAGATCTCAGACTACTAAGTACAATTACAGGCATGAGTCACTGGCACCTGGCTTAAGAAGCTGTTTCAGAATGAAGGAAATTTGATATTTTGTATAGAAAAAACATACCAAGGGAAAACAAAGAGATTTCAGTTTACTAGAAACAAAACACATCATTCATCCAAGTAATAGAAAGTTGTTTTTCTGTCAGTATTGTTATTTGAAGTCAAGACCTTGTACTTGCTAGGCAGGTGCTTTGCATTTGAGTCATACCCTCAACCCCAAGTAATTGGGATTTCCTGAACACTTTGAAAGGTTTCTTCTCTCCTTTCCTTTGCCCAAACTCTTACAGGTACCACGATATTATTCACTCCATTCATTTGGCTCGGAAGCCAAATTTGGGTCTAAGATCCTGTGATGGCAACCAGGAGCTCTTGAACTTTCTCAGGAGTGATCTCATTGAAGTAGCGACAAGGCTGCAGAAGGGAGGCCTTGGATATGTAGAGGAAACAGCGGAGTTTGAAGCCCGGGTAAGCACAGCACCCTGTGGAGCACCGTCCCAGTGTCCTGTACGTGTATTGCTAGCAGTGTGCTGGTAGATGACATGATGCTGTCCCAAAACATATAGGCGTACTTTTTTATTTATCTGGATATGTGCTAAAAATCAATCCCACATCTTCTGATGTTGGGGGGTTTTTTGTTTGTATTTCTGTAAAGCAGTATTTTTTTAATTGGCATACCTCATGGGACTGGCAGGATAGTATGCAGTATGGAAGAGGCTGTTTTTAGCTGGAGGTGCTGCGTTCAAACCCAACCCCTCCCCCCAGCCCCACGATTCTGATAGCGTGATTTAGCTGGCTCTTGTCTCAGAAAAACATAATGTCGATGTGCACCTTAGAGGGCATGACCGCCTGCGAGTGGAAAGCCAGCGCGATTGCGTTCTCAGTCTGTGCATTCAGGCAGCCCCTTGCACATAGAGGCACTCAGGTTCCTGAAGTGGACAGGATTTGCGAATTCTGTGACCTTTCTGTGAATTTTCCTTCACTGGGGAGGAGGAAGAGTCAATGATTTCAACTGTGTTGTCCATTTTGTGAGCTCAGGAATGCGAGTGAATGGTGCCATGGCCCTTTGAACCTGGCTAGAGACATTGCATTGAAAGCCAACCGCTTTCGTCTTTCTCTTGGCCTCATCTAATGTTTAAACCATTTTCTGTAGGTCATTTCCTTAGAGAAGCTGAAGGATTTTGGTGAGTGTGTCATTGCCCTTCAGGCCAGTGTGATAAAGAAATTTCTACAAGGCTTCATGGCTCCCAAGCAGAAGAGAAGAAAACTCCAAAGTGAAGATTCTGTAAAAACTGAGGAATTGGATGAAGAGAAAAAAATGGTAGAAGAAGCAAAGGTATTTAGTCACCACTAGTTCATGATGGTGCAAAAGACTATGACTTGGTTTTCAGTTGTTCTAACCCTCTGTATACTTCTTAGCTGCTTCTAGCACTATACCCTGAACCTTGAGTGGAAGAGTTGTGCTGGAATTTGAACTCAGGGCCTTGCACTTGGTAGGCAAGTGCTCTAACCTGATTTTTGTTTGTTTTTGAGATAGGGTTTCACTTGCTGCCCAGCTGTGCCTGGGTGCAGTCACCTGGTGTTATATTTTCCAGTAGCTGGAATAACAGGCATGTCACTGTGTTCAATTAAGAAGGCTTATGGGGGCTGGGAAGGTGACTGAGTGGTAGAGTGCTTGCTTTGCATGCATGAGGTTCTGGGTTTGATTCCTCAGCACCACATAAACAGAAAAAGCTGGAAGTGGCACTGTGGCTCAAGTGCTAGACTTGAGCTAAAGAGCTGAGGGACAGTGTCCAGGCCCAGAGTTCAGGCCCCATGACCAACCAAAAAGGCTTATGGGCTTCTTTCTGCCTAGGCGAGGCTGTCCTTGAACCAAGTCATCTTATTCTCAGCCTGCTAAGTAGTTAGGTTTACAGGTGTGAGCCACCAGTGCTGACTGGTGTTTCTTTTTAAAGTATCGCTCTACTGAATTGATAGTTTTCAAACTGGTATGTATCTAGGGCTATGGGTCAGAGGACTGTGCTGCCTCCCACATACACACACACACACACTCCTACACACCAGAGCCTGACACACACACACACACACACACACACACACACACACACTCCTACACACCAGAGCCTGTTTCTCTTCTAAAAGGTAGTGATGTGGTTTTTAAGTTATTTTGAAAGTTGTATGAAATACACATGATGTAGACTTTTCCTGTTGTATGTGCAGTTCTATACATTAACTGTAGCACTGTGTTAGCAGTCTGTCTCTATGGTTTCCTTATCTTCCCACCCTGGAGCCTGCCCACCCTGCTTCTGCTCTTGGGCAAACACCCTGGAGTGCTGACACTGTTCCCTCTCCCTGTCTTCCTGAGTGTGATTCAGGAAAAATCATGTCAGTGCAGAGGTAAGGCAGTGCAGAGAAGAAAAGTTCGGGAGACCTAGAGGTTTCATTCTTAGCTGCCATTGTCTCTCCTTTCCCCTCCCTGTGACCTGAGGGCTTTTAAGCACTGCTAACCTCTCCAGTGACATCAGATACTGTAGGATTATCTGTCTCCTTAGTCGAATCTTTTCCCCTTAGGCCTTTCGTTACATCATCTTTTTTCTTAATGTGTATTTGCAAAGAGTTTCTTCTCTCACCATTTCCTGTAGTTTTCTTCTGAGAACTAATAGGTACAGGATGCCCATTAGCTCTTCTTGAGTACTAAACCCCATAGCAAAGCATTCTTGGTGTAGGGAGGGAAATGTGGGCCTCCTGCAGGTCTAGACACCAGGAATGTAGAAATGGAAAATAAATTAGGTCCATCCAGCACCTCCAGTGTCTTCAGGAACCTGGTATTCTGCTCTGCACACCCACAAGGTCAGCTCTGCCCCAGCTCAAACATTTCCCACTGTCCTCTGCTTTGAAAGTTTCCACTTAGCAGCAGTCCAGCTATTCAGCTGGCAGCAAGCTGCTCACAGAAGCCTTTCATTCAGGCTTCAGTTTTCTTCTTTATAAAAATGGACTGAGCCGGGCGTCAATTCCTCACGCCTATAATCCTAGCTACTCAGGAGGCTGAGATCTGAGGATCGCAGTTCAAAGCCAGCCCAGGCAGGAAAGTCCAAGAGACTCTTATCTCCAAAAAACCACCAGAAAACTGAAAGTGGCACTGTGGTTCAAGTGGTAGAGAGCTCGCCTTGAGCTGAAGAGCTGAGGGACAGTGCCCAGGCCTAGTTCAAGCCCCATGACTGACCCAAAAAAAAAAAAAGTAGACTGAGCCGGTCACTGGTTGCTCACTCCTATAATCCTAGCTACTCAGGAGGCTGAGATCTGAGGATCACGGTTCAAAGCCAGCCCAGACAGAAAAGTCTGTGAGACTCTGATCTCCAATAAACCACTAGAAAACCGGAAGTAGTGCTGTGGCTCAAGAGGTAGAGCGCTCGCCTTGAGCTGAAGAGCACAGGGACAGCGCCCAGGCTCAGAGTTCAAGCCCCACAACCAAAAAAAAAAAAAAGACTGTCTGCATTTGTTCCCGACACCTCATTGGATTATTTGTTTGTGGGTACCAGAACTTGAACTCAGAGCTTGGACACAGTGCTTTAGTATTTTTACTTAAGGCTTGTGCTCTATCACTTGAGCCATGCCTTCCACCAGATTTTTTGCTCATTAATTAGAAATCAAGTCTCATAGACTTCTGTTCAGGCTGGCTTTTGAACCTTGATTCTCCAAATCTTCTGAGTGAGCCACCAGCATCATTTTTTCTCCTCTTACTTACTGAACTGTTTGGATTATTGTGCAATGAGAGAAGTGTTGAGTGTGTACTATAACAAGGTATTAAAAATGACCCATTATGTATAATGCCAATGGTATTGGCTTGCAAATCTTGAGACCTGGCCCAGAGTTGGTGTGAAAACTTGAACAGACTTTGTTCCCTGTAAAGTACCAAGGGTGATTTTTCAGCAACCACAACATGGAAACAACCCAAGTGTTGGCAAAAGAACAAAGAAAATGCACACAATGTGTGGTAAAATCTTATTTTCAGTAAGGTAGAATAAACCACTGTTACTCACCTTGTGAATGAACATATAAAGGGTGCTCTGGAGAGAAGCCCCTGTTCATAGCCCACATTTTCTTCAAGTTCCTAAAAATAACAATGAAATTGAATGAGTTCTAGGATGCCCACATATTTTAATGGATAGGAAATGACTAGGAAGTAAAAAGCACATGATGTGTATGCCTATAAAGGACTTTTTCAGTGTACACTACCACAGCTGTCCATTAGAGGGCAGAAAAGCCTGACTTTCATCCCTAAAATTCTTTTCCTTTTCTCCTTCTGGTCCGAGGCCTTAACCTCAGGGCCTGAGCACTGTTCTTGAGCCTCTCTGTGTGTTCTCAAGGCTAGCACTGTACCACTTGAGCCACAGCACAACTTCGGGCTCTTTCTGTTTATGTGGCACTGAGGAATTGAACCCAGGGCTTTACGCATGTTAGGCAAGCATACTACCACTAAGCCACATTCCCAGCCCCTAAAATCCTTAAATCTGTATGCCCTTGAAAAGATCTGGGGACTGTGTGGTTCAAGTTGTAAAGAAGGAAAGATGGATTGGGGTCTGTAGTCCTATGAGTTTACCTCTGCAACCCTGGGAAGGCAAGTGAGGCAGTCGTCCCTGTGAACGCATTGCACTCAGGAGTTGTAAACAGAAAAGGAAGGAAATTGTGCTTGCTTCCAAAGCTGATCTCCAGCCAGGCACCGTCTATAATCCCACCTACTGAGATCTGAGGATCACAATTAGAAGCCAGCTCCTCCAGGAAAGTCCGTGAGACATTTATCTCCCATTAACCAGAAAAAGACTGGAACTGAAGCAGTGGCTTAAGTGGTAGTGTGTGGCCTTAAACAAAAGAGCCAAGTGAGAATTTAAGGCCTTGAATCCCAGTTCCAGCGCGCACACACGCTCGCACACACACTCACACACAGTTTCACAATGAAACAACATTTGTGTTCCCTCAAAACATTTTGTAGAGGAGGGTGTGCTGTTAGTTGCTGAAATCCCCTTTCCCTGTTGTGTTTATGTGGTTGTCTTGGGGTGGGAGGAGACACAGAATGTATCCTGCTGATGAAGTAAAGCTGGCAGAAGGCTTTGTAGATACTATTTACCATTTCTGGGTCCTGGGAGCTTGGGTTGTGTGTGGCACATATTCCTTGTCTGAACCCAGATTCTGTTAGCTGTGTAATATTGTTGTATAAATAGCACACAGATGTCCCTACATTTAACTTTTTTTTTTGGTGGGGCGGGGGGTCTGGTCATGGGGCCTGAACTCTGGGCCTGGGCGCTGTCCCTCAGCTCTTCAGCTCAAGGCTAGCCCTCTACCACTTGAGCCACAGCGCCACTTCCGGCTTTTTTCTTTTTGCTTATGTGGTGCTGAGGAATTGAACCCAGGGCCTCATGCATGCAAGGCAAGTGCTCTACCACTGAGCCACCTTCCCAGCCCCACATTTAACTTTTTTTAAAAATTTATTTATGTGCCGGGCACTAGTGGCTCACGCCTATAATCCTAGCTATTCAGGAGGCTAAGATCTGAGGATCACGGTTCAAAGCCAGCCCGGGCAGGAGAGACTGTGAGACTCCTATCTCCAATAAAACCACCAGAAAACCGGAAGTGGCGCTGTAGCTCAAGTGGTAGAGCACTCGCCTTGAGCTGAAGAGCTGAGAGACAGCGCCCAGGCCCAGAGTTCAAGCCCCACGACCGACAAAAAAAAAAACAAAAAAAAATTATTTATGTGGTACTAAGGAATTGAACCCATGGCCTTATGCATGCTAGGCAAGCACTCTACCACTAAGCCACACTCCCCAGCCCCATAACTGTGTTTTTAAGTGATGTCACCAGAAGTAACTATTCCTGCTCCTACATCTCCTCCCTCCCCTCAGTGTTGGAGTAGTAGTCTTGAACAAGTCCTTTGTTCTTGGGAGCCATGATTATTGCCATTTCTGGGGTTTGAATCTCAGCATTGAGCTTGCTAGGCAAGTAGGCTATCACATGAGCCATGCCTTCAGCTCTTTTTTAGATTTTTAAAATTGTTACCATAAAGGTGATGTACAGAGGGGTTACAGTTAAATAAGTCAGGTAAAGGGCATTTTTTTTTTTTAGACAGTGTCACCCATTCCCTCCCTCTCTCCGGTTTTTCCCTCCCACCTCCACCACAACTTGTGTAGTTCATTTCCAACATAATGTCTAGTGAGTACCACTGCTGCATTTGTTTACCCTTTGTTCCTCCATTTTTGTGCATGTACACTCCCTTCCCCAAAGACAGATAAACAAGACAGAAATGATAACAAAACAGAGGAAGAGGCCTCTTGTTTCCATTTCCTGGGGTTTGTTTTAGATTTCCCCCTCCCCACCCCAAGCTGAGAACCAAACTCAAGGCCTTGTACTTGCCAGGCAAGTGCTCTTCTAGTAAGGTAAATGCCTAACCCCTTGATTTTTTTTTTTTTTTTTTTAATAGGTTCTATGTTTGTCTCAGGGCTAGCTCACCTAGACTATGATTTACTGTGATTATTTACACTTCCTGTGTAGCTGGGATGATAGGCGTAAGCCACCATGCCCAGCTTTAATCTGATCTCATGATAAACACCCCTGCTAGCCTCAACACCACACCCACACCTTCCTTCCCCCCCACCCCCCATCCCCAGATGAATGGGTGGATTTGTGCTACTCTGTTTTTGTTTGTTTGTTTGGGGGTTCCGGTTGTGGGGCCTGAACTCTTGACCTGGGTGCTGTCCCTCAGCTCTTCAGCTCAATGCTAGGGCTCTACCACTTGAGCCACAGCCCCACTTCCGGCTTTTTGTCTTTTTGCTTATGTGGTGCTGAGGAATCCAAGCCGTGGCTTCATGCATGCAAGGCAAGCACTCTACCTCTGAGTCACCTTCCCAGCCCCAAGGATTTGTGCTACTCTGGAAGGCAGTTGTCCTCAGAATTATTTCTACCCCGGGGGTTGGGGGAGGATTGGGTGGGGGGGCGAGGGGAGGCTGGGAAGGGATGGGAAGGGGAAACAAAGGAGGAGGCTACAATGCTTGATAAGAAATGTACTCATTATCTTGCCCATGTAATTGTAACCCCTCTGTACAGTATGTTCACAATAAAAAATAAAAAAAAAATTTTTTTTAAGAATTATTTCTACCCCTTTCTAGTCTTAAGTGTTCTCTCATTGGAGTAACGCTGGCCTGCTTTGCTCTCTGTTTAGGTTGCATCTGCACTGGAAAAATGGAAGACAGCAATCCGTGAAGCTCAGACATTTTCCAGAATGCACGTTTTACTCGGGATGCTCGATGCCTGCATCAAATGGGATATGTCAGCAGAAAACGCTCGATGCAAAGTTTGTCGAAAGAAAGGTATGTTTTGATCAGATTGGTTCATCTGAGTCTATTCAGATTGGTTCATCTGAGTCTATTACAGGGATGGGATTTCTGGTCTCAATTCTTGCCTCTAAATGGGTTGTGGAACAGTTTCTCCCTCCTGAGGATCTGTTGGGTGCCAGTCCACAGACCCTCCTGGGGGATAGAGAGGTCTTGGTTCCTCAGTGTGCAGCAGGATCAGCTGCTCCCTTCAGTCCAGATTGCCTAGAGACCAAAACTATTTCGTCTAAAATTGGTATTTTTCTTAAAATCTCAGCACTTTGGTCATCCCTAAGGTGAAGTGGTGATCCTCCAGCAGGGGGCAGTGTTTGTACATCATGGCAGATCCAGGCCAAGTGCTGACTAGATGGTACCAAGCAGGCTGGGATGGGAAGGAGGTCTGTAGAGCAGTTGTGGACACTGATGTAAGGGAAGGTTAGCCCAAGACTGGCCTACCCCAGGAAATTGATGAGCTTGGTGGCTTGGCATATGGGAGCCATGCCTGACACCCCACGGGTGGACAGGGGAGAAGGCTGCACAGTTCCTTGCCATCGTTCACTGTTGTCTTGTCCTAGTCTTGAGTAGATTTGGAGAAGTGGAGAAGTTAGGAAGCGTGGGAAACGCTCGTCCTACGTTCCCTGGTGGTAGTTGGGTGTACGCCACATCTCTTTTCAAAAGATGGACTTGACAAAAAGATCTGCTGCCGTAGGGCAGCCCCTGTGCATGCTTGTCCTGCTGCTTTGGCTCAGTGGCCCTTGCTGCGCTGCCGCAGGCTCACAGCTTTTATCTCTCTGCAGGTGAGGATGACAAACTGATCTTGTGTGACGAGTGTAATAAAGCCTTCCACCTGTTTTGTCTGAGGCCAGCCCTCTATGAAGTACCAGATGGTGAGTGGCAGTGCCCAGCCTGCCAGCCTGCCACTGCCAGGCGCAATTCCCGGGGCAGGTGAGACTTCCTTCTTTCCAAAATAAGTAAGCTTCTATTACTCCAGCTAAGTGATTGTGAGGAGCTTAGCATTCTCCTTTGAAGTGCCCAGCCCACTGATTAATGGTGCAGTGGTGGGGCTCCTGGTGCACACTCTAAATTTGGATGAATTACTGACATTCACATTGGCCACATGGCTGGTCTTCTTGACCATACTGCCTTTTCCCCCTCTCTTCTGCCTCCATGCTGCCTCCTCTTTCTTCTTCATAGTTACTTTGTAACCAGTCACTGCTTCCCACCCCACCCCCACCCCAGCTCTGCTTTGAACTCCACTCTTTCCTGCATGTCAGCTAACCTGCCTAGCATCCTCCATCCCACATGAGTGAGTGAGTCACCTTTGCTGCTTGCCATCCCTCCACCTCTGCCCTTTACCCCGGGTCCTGCATGCCCCTCCAGTTGCCCTTCCTGCCTCCTACACGCCTGTCTCACTTATCCCAGCTCTTGTGGCCACAGAGTGCCAAGCAGAGAGCACAGATGAGGTTTGGTTTTTATTTCTTTCGGTTTCAGGGCTTGAACTCAGGGCCTGGGCACTGTCCCCAAGCCTCTTTGTGCTCAAGGCTAGTGCTCCACCACTGGAGCTGCAGTGCCACTTCCAGTTTTTGAGTGGTTAATTGGAGATAAGAGTCTCACAAGGACTTTCTGCCTTGGCTGGCTTCAAACCATGATCCTCAGATCTCAGCCTCTTGAGTAGCTAGGAATTACAGGCATGAGCCACTGGCAAGCAGCTCATAGATGAGTTTTTCTACAGTTTCTAGAGTTTCAGGGCCTGGGCTGTGCTGGGTATGCTCATTGCAGGTGACTTACTGTTCACACACTCTGGGGCTTTGCTCCATCCTGGAATAGTGCCTCAGCCCAGCACTCCCCTACCCTCTTGTGAGCTGCCACCCCCCAGCCTGGCTCGGAAGGTCAGTCCTCATCTCTGCCCAGACTGCCCTCCTGCGCCAGCTGAGGGCTCATCTCCAAAGCAGATCATGGCGGCCATCATTCAGTCACACTGGCCCCAGACACTGCAGCCAGTTCCAAGAAGAGGCAGAGCCCAATCTGCACTTGATGTGGCCACACACAGGGCCTTGGGAGAAGAGAGACACCCGATGTTTGCCAAGTGTGAGCCTTGTTTTCCATACCACAGATGAAGGTTATGAAAGGGCGGCCCAGAGGCGCCTTGATCCCCCAGGAAGGGCGGGTCCCTTTGATCCTGCCCCCCCTTGCAGGGTCCTGGGTTTTCTCACTCCATTCCAGCTCCCCTCAGATGAGGCCTGCTGCTCTTGGTGGCGGGGCTCAGTTGGGGCAGCTGTTCTGGGCTGGGATTACCATTGCTTTGATGTCTGGTCATCTGCAAGCTGTCTCCACTCCTGGCCGGCAGCCATCAAGGTAGAGGAACACCTGTCCGCATGCATGCATCCCTCCACCCTCACAGAGCCTGAAATGCCACCCACTGGGGCTCTTCTGTGAGACAGTGGTTATGTTGTATATGATTTTGTGGGGGTGTAGGTTTGCATTTTGGTCTTGATTTCTATGGAGCAACATGCTTGAGGCCTCCTGTCTTGGGACCTTCTCTCTTCTGGCGTCAGCTCTGTCAAGCCTGTGATGAGTGAGTCTTTCTAGGACCCCTGTAGGATGGTGGCCCTTTTCAGGCCTGCTTTGTGCAAACTGTTCTGACCTGCTTTTCCTCCTCACAGGAACTACACGGAGGAGTCCACCTCCGGGGACAGTGATGACGCAGAGAGCAATTCAGAGGTGGAGGAGGAAGAAGAGGAGGAGGGGGAGGAGGAAGAGGAGGAGGACTACGAGGTGGCTGGCTTGCGGCGTAAGTGTGGAGTTGTGTGGTTGCCTCCCAGTCTCCAGGCTAAGCTGCCCATGGCTAGTCCCTTAGCTCTGTGTGTGTCTGTGTGTCTGTCCATCTCCTGAAGCTTGAACTCGACCTGAATGCCTGTCCTTGAGCTTTTGTGCTCAAGGCTAGTGTTCTACCAGAGCTCCCTCCACTTCTAGCTTCTTGGTAGTTTATTGGAGATAAGTCTCACAGACTTTACTGCCCAGGCTGGCTGGCTTTGAACCACAGTCCTCAGATCTCAGCCTCCTGAGCAGTTGGGATTTCAGCTGTGAGCCACGGGTGCCCAGTCTCACTGTCTTCCTTTATTCTGGGGCTGTGGGCTCACAACTGCAATGGCTCAGAAGACATTCAGGATGCCATTGTCAGCACCTGCCTCCGTGGGGTGCAGGGGCATGTGGGCATGAGCTTGCAGTCTATGCATGGGGAAGTCTGGGCCCTTGCCATGTCCATCTTGTCCCATGGTTCAGGGTGGTGCTGCTTTTAGAGTGTCTTTTGCCTACCTCATCTTTCTGGAGTGGCGGGTCTGCCCCTAGCTGAGGGCGGGAGGATGTGGGGTGTGTGGGGGAGGAGGAGGAGGAGGCTGAGGTCTGGGTGGTATCAGGAGGAGATGGCTTCGCCCTGTGAGTGTGCCATGTGGTACATGGGTGTTAGTGATGAGTCCTGTTGGCCTGGTTGACCTCCAGTCCAGCCTTTCCAAGCCCACTGTCAGCAGCTGACCACACGAATTACCCTCGCAGTTCTGAGGTCATCTCACTGGCAACCCCATTGCCCACCCTGTATGGCTCTCAGTAAGGCCAGGCGTGGCGCTTTAGGTTCTGCCTTCTCCAGGCCATGGGCATCTACAGCAGACAATGTGTAACAGTGCTGCTGCCGCCGCCACTGCCACCGCCACTGCTGCTTTTCCAGCCAGGGATTGCTCTTTTTCAGAGAAGCACTTTGCTTTCTTCTCCAGACTTCTTGGTTCTGTCTTCCAAAGGTTAGGGGATGTTTGGTGCTTAAGTATAGTCCAGAAGTAGAGTGGGGAGCTGCCTGTGGTCTCTATGCTGTGGTGCCAGCACCCTCTGCCCTCCTGTCAGCTCCCACCATCCTCCGTTCATGAGCAGACCTGGTGGGAAATGGCTTCTCGAAGCCTTGAGCATCCTTGCTGCACACCACCCTGGGGTGCCCTGAGGAATGTTGGGCACCTGCCGTCTAGCACCTGGCGCACACCAGACACAAATGTCCTCGGTGAGGCCCCATGGGGATGATGAATGTGCCTGGCACCCTGTCTAGTGCTCAGAACGCAAGAAAACACTGGAGCCAGGCCTGGCCTTCCGGAAGGTCTTTGCCAGCTTTTCTCTAAAAAAAGGTACCAGTGGCTTATCCCACCTACTCAGGATGCTCAGATCTGAAAACCGAAGACTAAAGTTTCACACCAGCCTGGGCAGGAAAGTCCATGAGATTCTTACCTCCAGTTAACTAGCGAGAAGTGGAGCTGGGCCTCAAATGGTAAAGCTCAGAGTTCCAGCCCTACCACCAGCAAGGAGAAGGAAAAAGAATGAAGTAGTGGGTGGGGTCGATGAAGCTATGAGACAGGGCCAGCATCACCACACCATACAGCTCCCCTCTCGGAGGGCACGCTGAGGCTGGGCTTGGCAGCAGGAGTCCGGCTGCCCATGGTGAGTGGGTTACAGTGGACTCTGCAGGTTCCTCATTTTGTGGAGTTCATTTGAGCAGGGAGGCTCAGAGGCAGCCTTCAGAAAGGGCTTCGGGTGCTCCATCCCCTGGTTGCTTTCTTTTGGCAATACTGAGGTTTGAACTCAGGGCTGTATGTTTGTAGGCTGGCACAGCACCTCTGAGCCACACCCTGGTTGTGTTTTTGCTGGTTATTTTTAGGATAGGGTCTTGCTTCCTGCAGTGCACAGACCTAAGCCAAGATCCACCTATTTTAAGCTGATAGAGTCCAGCTTCCATTCCATGGAGACAAGGCTCTGAGGAATTCTCTGCCTGGGGTAGCCTGCTGCCTGACCTCTTGCTGCCTGTATGTGGTGGGGAGCATGAGCCCCACGGGGCTCCCTCCTGGTCCAGCCTTACTTACTCCTTGTTTCCTTCAGTGAGGCCTCGAAAGCTCATCCGGGGCCGGCAGTGTGTCATCCCTACCACAGCCCGGCCTGGGCGGCCACCCGGCAAAAAATCACATACCACCAGGAGACCACGGCCCAAGGGAGCCCCTGTCCCTGCCGATGACTCTGAGCTGGACGAGCTGGTGAGTGAGTGCTCCCTGCCCTCCCGCTGTTCAGCGATACCCAAGGCAGCAACAGGTGGAGGCCCGAGGCTGCTGCTGCCTCCTTCTTCTCCTTCCCTCCCCCTCCCCTCTCCTGCTGCTGCTGCTCCTCCTCCTCTTTTTCCTCGCAGTGCTGTCACCCCACCTTCTCCCCCCCCCCCCCCCCCCCCCCCCCACACACACACACACACACAGGCAAGCTGCTGCACTGGCTCTGCTAGTTGGGGGCCGCCTGCCGCTTGTCAAGGATTTAAAATAGTCTGCATGTGTCTGTGGTGGGCCCAGAGGGGCGGCCCCGGAATGCCAGCAATGCGGGTGCTGCCCACAGTTGTCAGGGAGGGGAGGGTGCTGCACCCGGCAGTTCTTAGATCTCACTTTGAACAAGAAGCATACTCTTTTCCCAGATCAAATTAGGATTGGGCTGTAAAAGAGGCCAGGGGATCAAAGAGACCCTCCTGTTCCTGGCCCTCTTGCTGGAAGGCAGAGCTGCTCTTCTTAGCCCCAGGGAGACATGAAGCGCCACCATCCCAGGCCTCAAGGTTGGCTCTGGGTCCAGCACCCACCCCGCTGTGTGTAGCATGGCTAGATTATGGGCCCATCTACTCCACAGGGCCCGCATCCTGGCTGCACTTTAGTTCCCAGCCTAGTGCATCTTGATCAGTGACATCCTCATCATGCCTGCCCACACTCACTCCTTCTTCCACATTAGGTGCTTCAGAGCAAGCGCAGCTCACGGAGGCAGAGCCTGGAGCTGCAGAAGTGCGAGGAGATCTTGCAGAAGATCATCAAGTACCGCTTCAGCTGGCCCTTCCGGTGAGCCACCTGCCCAGCCTTCCCATCAGGCCTCCCTGCCCAGCCCAGCAGCGGGCACCGCGTACCGTGCCTTCCCGGCCGTGCGCTCCATTGGCTTTTCTCCCCAGGGAGCCGGTGACAAGGGATGAGGCAGAGGACTACTATGAGGTGATCACACAGCCCATGGACTTCCAGACGATGCAGAGCAAGTGTGCATGCGGTGGCTACGGCTCTGTGCAGGAGTTCCTCGCCGACATGAAGCAGGTGTTCACCAACGCTGAGCTGTATAACTGCCGTGGCAGCCACGTGCTCAGCTGCACAGCCAAGACGGAGCAGTGCCTGCTGGCGTTGCTGCGCAAGCACCTGCCTGGGCACCCATACGTGCGCAGGAAGCGCCGCAAGGGCCCCGAACCACCTGCCGACGAGCCAGAGGACAGCGATCCTGAGCCCGGTGCAAATGCCCGGGGCCGGAGGCAAAGGAAATAGAGGCCAGGCTGGCCTTGGTAAGGGAGTGGAGGTGGGAGGATGGAGGACTGGTGGGGGAGACCACCAGGGGGGGGCACAAGACAAGGGAGGAGGATTTGAAGAAGTGATGGAGAGCGCCAGACATGCCTGCACCCCCGCCCCACCCCACACAGGGCTGGCTTAAGCAAAGCCCTTGGGGAGTCTGGGGTCCTGCTGGCAGTCACTGGGTAGAAAGGGGCCAGCCCTGTGGTCTGAGCACCCCCAGGAGGAGCCCTGTGCACCCCTCCCTGGGGCCCCTACGCCCTTTCCTCCTCCTCTCAGTGAGGGTGCCGGGGAACACAGTGGAGTCCCATGCGCACCAGCATCACGGGACGGCAGCCGTCTTCTGAGGACATCTTGTGGAGTAGAGAGACATTTCCTGGAGCCATTCCTCAGCACCTCTCCTTTGTGAGCCCCCTCGCTGCCTCCGGAAACAAAGCTAAGGCACTTCCCCAGACTGCGGTCCTGCTTGTGATCACACCTACCTTCCCACTGGTCGCCTGGCCGCCAAGCAGCAGATGCCCGGAGCAGAGCGCTGAGTTGTTCAGAGGACTTTTCTAGTTGTTACCTTGCTTGTTTCTCAGCACACTGTATAAAGAGCACCTGTCTGCTCCTCCCACCTCAGCACGCAGGTTTCTACGCGTGCATTGTTCCCTGCCTGCTCCTCCACAGAAACCGCTGGGGTGCCAGCAAGCAGTGGGGTGCAGTGAGGTCCCCACCTGCCCTGCTGCACCTCCTGTTCCCTGGCCCCATCCTGGCTACGCTGTGTTTGTGGGTGTCCACAGGTGGGGGAGCCCAAGCCCCACAGCTGGCCCAGCCTGGGCACAGCCCTGAGAGCGCGTTTGTAGTCTCTCCCTTTTACTGCAGATTTTGATAAAAGTACAAGACAGGGTTTCATTTTCTTTTCTACCAACTCTGGGTTTAGAAAACATGGGCACCTGGGCTCTTCTGTGCCTGTCCGAAGGAAAAGCAGTCTGCGTGGGGATCGCCATTCAGGCGACTGGGTAGAGCCCGTGGACCGGAACTTGCAGGGGGGTCCCTGCCACCCCAGGTCTCCCTCTCTTCCCAGGTCTGCTGGGAGTGCGGACCCCAAGTGGCAGCCCAGCCCCCACCATTGCCCCATTCCTTTACATGGCTCAGGAGGAAGGCAGGCGGGGGCTTGTCATAAGTTGGAATTTCAAATAAACATTATGTACTTGTGTTTCTAAAGAAGCAGCAACATGGGCCGCGCCTCCTTTCGTGACGAGTGAGGTCTGGCCTCAGCCTCCCCCCATTCCATCTGGCACCAGAGGAAGTTAAGATGTGTTCCAGATAAAACTGACAATTTGTGGGGTCCTTTAACTTTGGAGCAATTCCTAACATTCCGAAGTTATTTCCACAGAAAGGTGCTCATTAGTCCTACATGCTCACCTTCCACCAGCACTTGGCTTGTGGGCATGCGTATTATTGAAGCCGCAGGGTTTGTGGGTGCACTGCTGGGTTTTGAGGGGCCACTGGTGTGAGCACCAGCTGGCAAGCAGAGCTGCCTGGCATGGCAAGGCAAATATCAGGCTAAAGGCATATGGTAGGTAGGCCTGGTGCAGGCTCAGCCTCTGGCTGTGGTAGTGGTACCATGTCGGCAGGACCTGCACCTGGTTCTGTGGGCACCTGTGGTGGAACCACTCCTCACCCCACAGGCAGCTATGGGGGCAGGTCCTACCCTGGCCGAGGGCCCCTGACCCCCTCTATCCCTACAGGGCTGTAACCTCGCATGTCCTGGGATGGCAATGAGGCAACATCCATGTCCCACAGTACCCAGCACTTGAGCCTCCCTGGATTGAGGGCCCCAGGATGGAGTTGAGTGAGAAATGCACACAGCCAGCCCTGAGCCTTAATAGTGGTTCACACCCAAGGCCCCGTCCCACAAGAACAGCATTGGGGAGTGAGCACCCCTATCCCCTCCAGCTCCAGGTTGGTCAGGTCTGAGACCTGAACCTTGGTCCAAGCTCAGCCCACAGGGATGGACAGAAGGGGTAGGCCCTTGATGCTCATGCTGCTGGCCCTCATTTCTGGGGTATTTGCTTGTCCCCTTTGTAGGGAAGTCCAGTTGCAGGAGGGTATCGGTTTTCTCCCCACTTGCCTTGCCCAGCTCCTCTAGACACAGTCTCCAAAGTTCCGACCCATAGTAGAAATCCCAAATACTAAGGAGACAGGCACCATCCCGCCCCCAACAGGCTGTGATGCCTCCCCATCAGCCAACTCTCCTTCCCTGCACCAACCATCCTAACCCCAAAGTGGAGCCCCTTGAACCCTTCTCTGCCTGCATCATGTTCCCCAAACCCTCCTTGTCTACTTGGCAAGGAAGAGGGATGCACCTATCCTTTGGTGCTCAGCCTCATGCCTCTTGCTTGCAAGATGTAACTGCTCCCTTAAGACCTGGAGCCATCTTGGTACAGCACCCTCCCATATCCTCCCACTTCTGGAGGTAGGGTGGGCCAGGGCTCCTTGATGCCTCCAGGAAACTCAATCAACAAAGGCCCCGACCATGTGGACAGCAAAGGAAGATGAAGCCATTTGCCTGCAGCTCCCTGGGCAGATGAAGTGCGAGGCTACTGGATTCCCTGTTGAGTGGGCCTCTAAATGGCCTAAGACCTTGAGTTTGAGATGGTCTGGTTGGCACGAAGTTGTGGGCTGCCAGCATAAGAGCTTCCTCTCCTAGGTTGGGTGAGATGGCTCATGTCTGTAATCCCATTTAGGATAGAGTTTTGAGACCAGCCAAGTAAAAAGCTAGGAAGATCATCTCAAGCAGTAAATTGGGCATGGCAATGTGAGTCTAAACTACAGGGCCCTGAGTTTAAACTCCAGCACTGCCAGGAAGCCAAGCTCTGGTGGTTCACACCTGTAAGCCTAGCTACTCAAGAGTCTGAGATCTGAGGTTCATGGTTTGAACCAGCCTGGTCAAGAAAGTCTTGAGTTCTTGTCTCCAATGAACCACCAAAAAGGCAGAGATGCCAGGATCGTACCCTGGACTTTGATTGCAAGTGGCAGGGTCCTTACAAGGACCACCGGGCAGCCCCAGCCTTCCCCAGCATGCTCTGTCTGTGTGTGTGTGTCTGTCTGTCTGTCTGTCTCTCTCTCTCATACACACATACACACCTGTGGTACCCTCTCCGCCCCATCTTTATGGCTCCCATCAGCACAAGTCCTTGGTCTCAATTTGCACTGAACTCCCATTTTCAGGTCCTCTTCTGCATTCCCAAGATACCCCATCTTCCCCTCCACCCAGAGATGTGAGGGGCATGGGAGCACCCTCACGAGGGCCCAGGGACCCAAGTGGACACACCAGCATCTTGTCTCTCCTTCATCCCTTGGCCGCACTGAGGTTCACATTCAGCACCTCCTGGGCAATTGTTCCACTACTTAAGCCATGTGCACAACCCTGTATTTTTCAGATAAGGTCTCTTGGCTTTTGCCGAAGGCCAGCCTCACACAACAATCCTCCTCTTAACAGTCTCCCCATGGCTGGGGTTATGAGTATGCACCTGGTTGAGATGGGACCTGACTTTGCCAAACTATTCTTAGTAGCTGGGAGTCCTGGTGCCTGGCCAGCACCAGTAATCCAACAAGGACAGTAGTCCTCTAGCTCCAGTCCTGGTCCCCAGGGAGGGGACCCGAGACAAGCTGGAGACAGGCTGACGCCCTCATTTTCAACACAAACGAGGAAAGCAAAGTGTGAGAAAGGAAAAACTTACCCATGGTCCCAAACAGGCCTGACGCCCCAAGGTCAGAGGTGGCGATGTCATCTCAGGGATCTCCCCCACCCACACACGCCCCTTTCCTGGCAGGCATCCCACTCCCGCTTCAGAGCCCCGGGAGACTCCTGCACATGCCATCTGGGACGCACACAAAACACGGCTGCTCACAGAGGAGCTTCCTCTTGATTGCTGGGTCCAGGGGATGAGCCCACCCCACCCGCAGATCGGCTTAGGGAGTGGGAGACCCCATAGGGTCCCCTCCCAAGTCCCCTTCCTTCCCCAGCCCAGAGTGGACTCTGCAGTAACACACAGGGGTTTATTCCAGTCACAGCTTGCGGAGAAACGCAACAATAAATTACATCATTAAATAAATGCTCTGATGGACCATGCCCTCCTCTGTCCCTTCTTCTGACCTTTTGGGGGTCGCAGCCAGGCTCCCACCCCCAATTAGGAAGCATACGAGTGTGAGTTTCACCAGGTCCCCACTCGGGTCCTCAGCCCCCTGGCTGTGCCTGACCTTGACAGCTGGGTGCTGCTAGTCAGCTGTCTTTTGGGGGGGGGGGGGCCACAGCAGAGAGCCAGGCCTGTGTCGCTAGAGGTGCGTGGGGTTCTCCAGGGAGGGGTCCGTCTTAGTCATGTGCAAGACCACCGTGGGGGCCTTATAGTGGCAGTGGATGCCCCGTCCATAGCCCCCAGGGGCTCTGCAGGCCTTGGCCCGGGCCCGGCCGGCTGCCATCTTACGGTGGCACAGGCTCTGCCAGGTCTGGAAAGTTTTGGAGCTCCACACCCAGACACCACTGGTGATGCCCACCACCAGAGACATGAAGATTTTGAGCATAAAGACAGCCACGGTGGGTACGGAGCCCCCCGGCAGGGAGCAGTCCCTGCGGCCCCCGGGCACCGACGCGCCAGTGCACGGCTGCTCTGCGGCCCGGAGCCGCCAGAAGTCCATGTTGAGGCGCTCGTAGGCGTAGCACACGATGACGCAGGTGGCGGGCACCGTGTAGAGGATGGAGAAGACGCCGATCTTGACCATGAGCTTCTCCAGCTTCTCGGTGTTGGTGCCCCCCGTCTTCATGATCTTGCGGATGTGGAACAGAGCCACGAAGCCCGTGAGGAGGAAGCTGGTGCCCAGCACCAGGTAGCCAGCCAGGGGCACCAGCACGAAGCCCGTGAGTGCTGCGGCGTCCATGCTGGCCACGTAGCAGAGGCCGGTCAGCTCGTCCCCGGCCACCTTGCGCAGGGTCAGGACCACGATGGTCTTGAGCGCCGGGAGGCCCCAGGCCGCCATGTGGAAGTAGCTGCCGTGGGCCTCGATGGCCTCGTGGCCCCACTTCTTGCCGGCCGCCAGGAACCAGGTGAGCGTGAGGACCACCCACCACAGGGAGCTGGCCATGCCGAAGTAGTAGAGCAGGAGGAAGACCAGGGTGCAGCCGGTGTTCTCCAGGCCCTCCTGGATCACGTAGAGCGCGCCCGCCTCCTGGTCGCAGGCCACACTCTGCGCGCCGGCCACGGCTCGGATGAGGAAGGCCAGCGAGTAGACGTTGTAGCACATGGAGAGGAAGATGATGGGGCGCTCGGGGTACTGGAAGCGGTGCGGCTCCAGCAGGAAGGTGAGCACGGTGAAGGCGGTGGAGAAGAAGCACAGCGCCGACCACACGGCCATCCAGACCAGCGCGAAGTCCTTGTCGCGCCGGGACCAGAGCACCTCGACGCCGGGCCCGCAGCGCGGCGCGCACGCGCGGCTCTTCTCCACGTACTGGAACTTCTCCGGGTTCTGGCAGGAGCCGGGGCCCTGGCCGGGGCCGGCGGGGCCCGGGGCTGGCGCGGGGGGCCGCGGCGCCACGGGCAGCATGCCCAGGCCCCGGTGCGGCTCGGCGGGGCCGGCCGTGGCGTTCTCGGGCGCCTCCATGCACAGCGCGTGCGGGTCGTTGCGCGTGGGCAGCCGGCCGCAGTCGAGCGCGTCGGGCCAGCCGAAGTGGAAGCGCTCCATGACGGGCGCGCAGCGCAGGCGCGCCTGCTCGCACATGGGCCGGCAGGCGGGGATGGGCGCCGACACCTGGTGCGTGCACATGGGCGCGTACAGCGAGCACAGCACGAAGCGCAGGTGGCCGTGGCAGCCGTACTGCACCAGCGGCGCGAACTCCGCCAGCTCGGCCGCCGCCTCGCCCTGCGACGTGTGGCCCAGCAGGTTGGGCATGCGGGTCAGGTTGTAGCCGATGCCGTGGCACATAGGGATCTCCACCGCCTGGCACGGCGCCGGCCCGCGCCCGCGCTCGGGGTCGAAGCGCCCGATCTCCAGCGCCGCGACGCCCGCCGCCAGCAGCGGCCACAGCAGCGGCAGCGGCGGCGCCCGGCGCGGCGGCGCCTCAGCCATCGCGGGCGGCTCACTCGGGCCGCGCGGCCCCGCGCTCCCCTGCCCGCCCGCCGCGGCGCGGGGCGCGAGCCATCGCCGGGACGCCCGCGTGTGTCCGGGAGGGCCGCGCCGAGCCGGCCGAGCAGCCGCCGCCGAGCGGGAGCCGCAGCGCGAGTGGAGCCCGAGCGGGAGCGGGAGCCGGAGCGGAGCCCGCTGCGCTGGGCCCGTGCCGCGGCTACAAGCCCGGGGGCGTGGCTATGGGACACGCCCGGGGGCGGGGACTCACCAGGACACGCCCTCGCCCGGAGTTAAAGGCGCCGAGTCTCGCCGGGGAGCTCGGGCCGCCCCACGGGCCGGAGCGCTTGGGACACGCCCGCCCTTTGAGCCCTCGCCTCGCTTTTCCACCAGGTTCCTCCCCTTCCCCTACGTCCCACCCTTTCCCCGCGACGGTGGTCGGTCTGCAGGACCATTCCTCATACTTTCTTGCTGCAAAAGATCATGGGCAAGACCTCGCAGGGGAAGGCCCGGCTTGGGACCCAGAGACAGTTCAAGTACAGCTTGGGCCTCTGCACTGGACACATATGACTTCGGACTCCTCTCCAAGCCTCCCATGCCCTGGTGTGGACCTCAGGATATCTTCTCAGCCTGATCCTCTTTCCCAGGTGGGGAAACTGAGGCTCAAAGAGTGACGTACTCCAGGGCACAGGGTCACAAATTCTGCATTTGTGACTGTGGTACTCCAGTCACGGGCCACCCTCTGTAGGGGCTCGGGAGCCCACTGAGATCTGCTCCAAACCTGCCATTGCTCCTGATGCCTCTGCTTATGAAACCCAGGGCCACCTCGTTCTGGGATCTCTTACAGACTGTCCCCACTGTCCACCTGTCCACCTCATCCCCCGCCCACCGGCCTAGGAACACCCAGACAGCTGGGGCTCCGGCTGTGTGAGCCCCCAGCCCAGGGTCAGGCTCTACAGCCAGTGCTCAGGGACCTAAACGACTGAGTGACAGAGGATCAGGCACTGCACAAGTGTGCGCTCAGAGCCACGGGGGTCCCCAGCGAGGTGCTGCCCCTTCATCTTCCAACTCCGAGAACCATCCTAAATCAGTCCTGCATCCACCTTCCAGGACAGTTGTGAGACTCAGAAAACAAGCTACCTCTGAGGCCAGCGAAGAGACGATGCCACCCATCCCAAGGGAGCCTGCCCAGGTGTGGCTGCCCAGCGTAGCCCACAGCTGCCCGCTGTGCAGCTTGGTGCAGCCATGGTGGTGTGGTGAGAAAGTGGGGCTGTGGTTCCCACACATGCCTGTCATTAGTGCTCAGCACCCCTTACAATTGTACTGGAGCCAGAAGGGACAAAGGCAGGCAGATGCTGCCCCTGGCCTGCGCCCAGCCCTCTTGTCTGATGGGAGAGGCTGGGGGTGATGCATAGCCCTAGGCTAGGCTTGCCTGGCTGGGGTACCGCTGTGAGACTCCAGCTTCCCAAGGAAAGGAAGGGAGGGCAGGAGTGTGGCCCCTTTGGAAAAAAAAAAATAACCCAGCTTAGTGGGAGCCTGTGACTCATGCCTATAATCCCAGCTACTCAGGAGGCTGAGCTGTGAAGATCAAGGGTCCATTGAATCCAGCTCAGGCAGGAAGGTCTGTGAGACTCTTAAGTCCAATCAACCAGCAAAAAGCCACAAGTGGGATTGTGAGTCAAGTAGTAGAGTACCAAACCTAGAGAGAAAAAGCTAAGGGACAGTGCCTAGGCCCAGAGTTCGAGCACCAGGACAGATGTGTGTGTGTGTGCGTGTGCGCAGGTACACACACACAATCACAGGCCAAAAACAAAACATTTTTAAAAAACCACAAAAAAAAATCATCAACTTTAAGTACAGCTTTCAAAATACCAGCAGCAGCTCCCCATCACACAGCTCTGGTGAGGAACCCCCTTCCCTGCCCCCTCCTCTGGAACCCGAGGCTGGAAGCCCTGGTGGCCTCTCCCTTCTTGTTTCTCCCTCACACCATCTCAGAGCAGGCCTGAGACTTGTGCAGCTCTGGATAGAGCTGCAGGCTTTGCTTGGGGGTCTAGGGTCCTTGCCCACACCCCTGGTCCATCCATCCATTCATCTGTCCGTCCATCCATCTTTCATTCCTAATTCTAGCAGCTGCTAGCTGATTGTGGATGGCCGCTCTGGCTGGAGCAGCATGGATGACAGTGAGGTTCAGCTCCATTTCCTGAGCCCCCACCCTACCGGCCATAGGGGTGTCTGGGGCTGGGGGGAGCGTCTGGGCTGCCAGGATGTCCCACAAGGACTGGCCTGGGAGCCAGGGTTTTGTGGGTTCCTGCCTCGCTCCTGGGTGAGGAGGAGCAGGGGGCTCTGTGTAGCAGCCGAGGAGGGGAGGGTGCCCCAGGGCCGTGGGATGCCAGCCCCGTCGCTAAGGCAACCGCTGGCTCCTGGGAAGCCGGAGCCGGAGGAGCAGCCGTGGCCCGCGCTGAGGAGAGAAGAGGCCTCTTGGGCCGTCTGCCCACCCACCGGGCTTTGTCACTGGATCTCGGCTTTACAAAGGCCAACAATGCCCCGGGTTTTCTCTGAAAGGGACACTATGAGGACCGGGACGGGCGGAGGCCTCATCAATGCCCACCCCCCACCAGGAGCCTCTTGGCTCCTCCTTCCTGCAAGATGCCAGCTTTTCCTGGGGACAATGGGGTGTGGGGGGAGGACACCCTTCTGCCCTGCATTCCTCCTATCCTCCCTTCCCACCCTCCCTTCTTAGCCCCACCCTCTCAGGAGTCAGCTCTGATACTGATGCCCCCCACTCCTGCTGATGCCCATCTTTCCAGGAGCCTAGGGGACCTGGGAGGTGGGTCTGCACCAGGCCCCCACCTCCACATCAGGGTCTTGGCACCTGGTTTGGGATAGGTTACCATAAACGCCTGCAGTGGAGAAGGAATGTCGGATTGGGGAATCGGGGATTCTCCTGGGCTTCCCACTCCCAGCCCTCTTGTTTGGATTTCCTTTCTGAGATAGTCTTGCTGACTGCCCAGGCTGGCCTCCAATGTGAATTTGGCCTCCTGAGTAGATGGACAAACAGGTGTTCTCAACCCCGTGTGGTTTCAATAGTCTGGGCAAGTTATAAATTGTCCAACTTCTCCCTCTGGAAAGGCTCCTGGGGAAAGGGGCACCAGGAGCGGTGGGGGCATCAGTATCAGAGCTGACACAGGGCACCACTCACCCTTGAGGGGGTGGGGCTAGGGAGAGTGGAGAGGGAGGGCAGGTGGAATATGATCTGTGTGGCTGTCCCACACAGACACAGCAGCAATGTATGCACCTTCATCCATCTTCATCTGTAGCCATCAGATCCGCTCTGGCCCACTGCTTGTTACTGCAAATAAAGTTTTATTGGAACACAGCCATGTTCATGCCCGTTGGTTTATAGTCCACAGTGCATAGCTGACTTCAAGCAACAGAGGTAGATCTGCACCATTGTTGGGGAGAGCACCGCCTGTGAAGCTCCAGGCATTTCCTCTCTGAACAGCAAGGCTGCCCTCCACAGAAGACTGCTGAGTCCTACATGAATCTGTGCAATTTTTTTTTCCAGAAGGGGCAATATTGAGGCAATACTGAAACTTGCTTCATGAGCATGAGCCATGCATGCCCCCAGCCTTTCTACTGAAGTTGTTTTTCAGATAGGATATTGAGTCTGGCTGGGGCTGACATAGCTGGGTCTATAGATGTGAACTGTTATGCCCAGACATACATGTGGGGGGGGGGGCGGGTGTGGACCTGCCAGTACTGGGGTTTGAACTCAAGGCCTGAGTGGTGCCCCTGAGCTTTCTCACTCAAGGTTGGCACTCTCACATTTGAGCCACAGCTTCATTTCTGGTTTTCTGGTGGTTAATTGGTATCTCACAGACTTTTGTGCCCAGGCTGGCTTTATACCATGATCCTCAGAATTCAGCCTCCTATGTAGTAGGATTACAGGTTTGAGCTTGGGGTTTTTGTTTGTTTGTTGTTGTTTGTTTGTTTTAAATAAGAGTCTTGCCTGATTTGGTTGGTCTCCAACTGTAGTTTTCCCATATTCCCTTTGACAGTAGCTGGGATTGCAGGCATAAGTCACCACAAATGGCTTCATCTGAGTTTTTAATACTAAGCCTTTAATTGAGCACATACCCTGTGCTGGGCAGGGGAGTCCAGCCCCCTCCCCGCCATGGCACTGGGGACCCTGGCTCTCCCAGGCCAGCTGTTGCTGTCTGCCAGGAGAGCAGGGAGTGAGAGAAGTCTGAGCTGGGCTGAATCTCAAAGCCACATGGGAGCCAGCAGGGAGAGAAGGAAGGGTGCTCTGGGTAGGGGACCAGCCTTTGCAAAGGTACTGGGATCGGAGCCGGGCACTGTGGGAGCAAGGCCGAGCGTGGTGGGCAGCCCCCCGTGGGGCAGGCTGGATCCCCGGCTGGGCTGGGCCTCATGGAGGCCCAGGGCAGCCTGGCTGGGTTTGGGGAGCCCCAGCCACCCGGGCCAGGCGGGAGGCTCCGCTGCTGAAAGCAGCTTTTGTGTAGCTGAGGGCAGCTGAGCTCCCGTTTCGTTGTCGTTGGAACCTGCTGCTTATTTACCCAGCTCGAGAAATTCAGCGGCAGAAGGGGGAAAAAAAAAATCACCTCAGCTGCCCAGAAGCGGGGAGGAGCACGCCCCACCCTCTGCAGCCCTGCCCGGCCCAGCAGCCAGGGACCCCCCCAACACCCCACAACCCCCCCCCCCCAGACCCTCTCTGCTGGGCCCACCTGGCCTGTGCAGCCAGGCTCTGCAGAGCCCCTGGCTCTGGGCCTCACCCCCCTCCCAGGGGCTGAGGGCAGAGCCCAGGGGGGCCATCCCGAGGTGCAGGGGTGACCTTTACCCAAAGCACAGGGTGTCCTCCCAGGCTGGGGCAGGCATGCCCAGGACAGAGTGGGCCTCCCAGCCGCCGGGGAGGAGCCTGCTCTCCTCCAGGCCTCCCGCAGGGCGGCAGGAGGGGCCCACGGGTGCCCTCTGCCAAGCTAGTGTGCACT